AACAGAATCTTACATTAATTCTCACTCGCCAAGTAAAAGACTATACACACAAACGTCGACCGACTCGATATCGTTAGATCAAGATTTTCCACCTAATTTGGCTTGTCTTCAGCATACAGCACGCACAGAACCTTTGAAATTCTCCACCACGTTCGCATTTAACCAAACTTCAATTAACAACTCCCCAGTACCAGAAACGCACAAAACATCAGAATCTGAATTCACAATCACTTCTAATCAACCTACGACCGTAAGCGAAAGAAATCAGTTACCTCCGTCCACGTTTGAAAAATGTTTGTCGAAACTTGATGATTTGATGGAGAGGTTTGATATTTTGGGAGAGGAAAAAGAGCGACCGATACATATTCTTAAAAAGTACTTGAATGCGTTGGTTGTGTATGAGGAGGTTGATGATTTGAGACCTGACGTGTGGTGCGCCAGTGCGATTTGGATTGCGACAAAGTCGAACGAGGAAGATGAGGACGGTATGGATGTAACACTTTCGAAGCTGGCAAAGGTCGTGAAGAAGAGGTAATTTAATCAACGTTCTTTTTTAAGCTCGTTCTTTTGATACTGATCTTTCTCGGGCTTTTTCTTGTAATAGTTGTAAGGTGGATGAAATTGCACACGCAGAGATACTGTTGAAATTTGTCAACACAATCAAAGACGTTTTAAATCGCCTGCATTTCGACTTTCAGGATCTGCGTTATTCGAAAGTGTCCGGCATTATCAAACGAAATGAAGATTTTCTCCACGTTTCGTATTTGTTGTTTACTTTGGCCAAAGACCTATTTGAAAAACTCATTTCCAATCCATCTGATATAATGGAGGAGTATTTTCGATATGCATGGCTACTTACGACTTTTGGAATGGGTATGTTTGCGTTTTGTTTTATTCCTCATCTGTATAATTACGATTTGCGTGAATAGATTTTTATGGGATGGATTGGATGAGAACAGAAGCGAAAACTTTATGTATGATATGCGTTGTATTCGTCGCCTCACAAATCAATCGACACAGAGCCCGAGCGACTCAGTTGTGCCCGCAATTTTCAGGAATATCCCTCAGTCCCGAACTCGATGATTGGTTGCTGCAGATGGAAGAAACTCGCATTTTTATTTGCAACCGCTACAACATCTCACGTTCCGAATATCATGAATGCGAGAATAACCAAATCGGCCAGATTATACAAACATTAACGGAACAGAAGATTTTTATGTATCGAGGAACATACGAGTTGCCACTTACCGGGTGGGTCTGTTACGATGGAGCGTTTGCGATGGATCCCACCGGGCTGTTTGAAAAGAATTTGATGGATCTTAAACGGGAATGTGATGTTGTGGTGTTTAACCAAAATAGCGAGGTTGACGTGACGGCGTTTTTACCACCAAGTCGCATACTGCAGGAAGGAGGAACGAAGCGACAGGTTAGAACGCCGATGGTCATGTCTGTGGTTAGAACCGCTCCGTCACGAAATTTGGCTGCTTCGTTGTTAAAGACTAGTAACTTTTCGGTTCGTAATTTTTCGACGTTTAGTTGTGGTTTTTTCTAACTTTTAATTGTGCTTTTTCAATGAAAAGAGAACTATGACTGCTACTCCGCTCACTGCTCGACATCGAGGAAATATGGTGCCCAACACGCACCCCAACTCGGAAGCGACTGCGATTACTCAGAATATACTATCAAACCTGGTTGAAGATTCTGTAAGTTGGAACCACATATTCAGGGAAATTCAATACTAAGTAAAATCATCTAATGAAGCCTCAAGACTCGGGTTTCATTTGTAACTACGTTTCGTTCGGAAAGTCTGGTTTTTTGAAAGACCACATATCCGGGGTTGTGAAAGGATTTAAAGGTGATTATTCACACACAAATTGTAAACGAATATATTAATCATAAAAACAGATGAACTGAGAAAAAACTCCACAAATGCATATATTGTGCAATATTCGGATATGTGCGAAAGGATACATTACAGATTTATTGAATCGATTTTGAAAGCGATTGGGAATGTGGTAAATTATATTTTTTTTTTTTAGCATAAGCGTTTTTTTCTAAATCTGTTTGTAGTCGAGATGTGAAATATTGATTATCGATGATAAATTCCAAGGTCCTGTTTTGTTGTGCGCATTTGAGTTGATACGACATGTCTACAAGGTAGGCTTCATTTTTGTTTACTTTTCTGAGTTATAATATCTTACCGTTTATTTGAATAAAGATTGATACAGTTCATTTTGATCACATTCGAAGACATTTGCAAGTTAGGCCAATAGAGATGTGGATTATTATCGAACTGGTTTTGAAACATGAACCGAATGTAAGTCTAAAATGAAATTTAGGTCGAGTGTTTAAAGTTTCTAAATATTTTTTTGTAGTTTCAATCATCGACCGCGAAAGTTATAACACGCCGATTGATCGAACTTCAGGAAAGAATTTTGGAGAGCGAAATATGGAAAGAATCAGAAACGTTTGATATATTACAATGTTTGTTGCAATTTGAAATCGCGGAGGCCCAAAAGAACCTTGACGTTCGTGAAGTTTGCTGTAAGTGTCATTGCTGCGTGTATTTTAAATAAAGTGTTCAATTTTATATCTTCTTTAGCTCGACTTTCTTGTTATATTTCAAAAACGGTGGAAATTTTTGATACGATATCTGGTTCAAACAAATTGATCCCCGGTAAACACGCAATGCAACTTCTTTTTCAAAAAATCGAAATTATGGCTCGTCACCGTCTTCACTGCTTGTTGGCAGGACTTCAATTATCCGGATTATATGATGATGTATGTTTTAATCTTTTCTCTCATATTTTTTAGTTTGAACTTATCTCTCGTTAATAGACTTGGAAGATTCTTGAAAGTGTACTCAGAGACGCCAATGCGAGGATATTACAAAATCGTCATTTGGACGCGTTCATCATTTGTTCGGCGTATGCAGCGGCGGCATTATCGGATAAAGTAACGTCACTGAGCGCCCTTTCGATTGCTTACCGAGACCAACCGCAATACATGGATGAGGTGAGGGCTATCGTATAGCTTTTTATCTGTTAGCTCAACATTGTGATTGTTTAGACGGTTGAGTCTGTCTTTTTGGACAGAAATAAGACAGTGCAGATAACAGAGTTTTATAATATTGTTTTTGTACCGTTCTATCGACAAATTAAAAAGGTATTCTATTGATTTTTAACACTTTTAACGATTCATTTACGATGAAACATAGGGCGGATACGTCACAGCTCCTCCACCTCGATTTGTTCACGGCATGACACCAACGAGAATGCAAATGATGACACCACTTACACGTAAACTATACAACCCAGAAACTAGCCTCCCGACAACGAAACAAAAATGCGCAACTTCGGCCAAAATCAAACTTCCCTCTAAACTCCGATCGGTAAATTCACAACAGACCATCGGGACTATTCCTGGAGTTATACGGACGCCTCAATTACACAGAAGCTACACATCAATTGGAGGATTAGGCATACAAACAAACGAAAACGGAATTGTTCATACAAGGAACAGTATATTCAATCAAGATCATAACAATAACAATAATGTCGATTCTGGCACAACACACCAACCTAGTAATCTGGATCCACGTTCGCGGACTGATGAATAGATATTAGAATACGAAACGAGACGAGTAAAAGAAGGTGGAAAAATTTCAAACCTGTATCAACTATGTGGTAGAAAGAGGTGTAATTAGATTTTGAGAAATTCTGTTTCATAAAAAAAAAAATAACATACAGTGATATTATCTCCTTTCAGTAAAATTCTTCCAACTTGGAACCTGCCATCCTTTCGAACTTCTTCTGCATCATCCAACACCAAGTTCATAAACTCATCAAAACCCTATCGGGGGAATTAGTCAACGAACTCAAATAAACAGCGGGCAGCATACAATTATTTGGCCTTCCATTCGCATATCCACCTGTAAATCAATCTATTAGACATAGTTTGGAGGAGACAAAAATGCAGAATACATTCTCGAATAACCAAATAGAAACACGTTGTTTTTGTTGAAGATATTTGAATATAAGATTCTAAATATAAAGCGTTACGAGATTTAAATCAAAAATGTACATAATAAACATACGATAGGCTGTACAAGAATCTTTTGAACTTTGCTGCTCATTTTCCAAAAATCCAATTCAAAATTTCTGACAACCCGAAAAAAACAAAATCAATTTTCACTGCGAAATGTCCAATGTTCTTCAGCTTAAACATGCTTCTTTCTTTCCGAGATTCCTTACTAATCGGTTTTGATAAAGCTTGTTGAATCAGCAGCAGATGTACCTCACTCTCCCTCCCCCACACCTTGCCACAACTCACAACATCCAATTTCCTCCTTACCCCAACTCACTACTCTTCCTCCCGTCTCTTCACTTTTAATCCCACTCCCAATCTACCTCTTGTGCGAAGGCGCCGACAAATTTGTTTAGCTATACTAACTTCTTCGATACAAACCGTCCCCAATAGCACGATTTTATAGAGAAATTTCGCAAATTATATGGAATGGAAACGCATTTCTTGGATATAAGACTTTCAAGGCGGTTCTGAATAAATTACCACCAACTGAGCATAAATGCTAGCCAGGGCCTTCGTTAAAGTGACGTTAAACGTCGCTTTGTTTGGTTCATCAAGTTTGCAAATCGATTGAGTGAAAAATAATGAATAATGATATCAGCGGTCCAATGGATATTTGTTTCTTCAAATTGGGTGAATACCATTCTCAACTGCAGCAATGGTGAAGATCGATAAAATCCGGCCATCTTATAATGAGCTCCAGAGCATTCAACTCCAGTCGCTCGCGGATGAATCGTCGAAGTTCACTTTCGATTCAGCCTGGCTGGTTAAGACCACAAAAATTAGTAATAAATTCCTTAATACAACAACAGCAGATCGCTGACGCTTTCGGAAAGATGAGTTTACAAAAAAAAAAACAGCAATCGCATTCGGCAATAATAATTACTAAAAAAAATAGATTAAAACAAAAAAAATAGCAGCTGATTGTTTCGATCAATCGACCTGTGGGTTATGAGCCCACCACGCTTCCACTGCGCCAAGCTGCTGTGTTTCAATTGGATAAAAAAAAAATAAAAAAAAAATTAATTTCGATTGAAAAAAAAATCCTTGATGGACAGGCAGTTAGAGACCGCGGAATGAGTACAGGACACGTTTGCTTGCAATATACCTTTGGACTATAACAGTCAACATAAGGCGGCCAACATCCCACTACAAACCAACATCTAGGAGTCTCAGAATTTGAGATAGCAATTGATGTTTGCAATAGGTGCCAAGGAATTTTTAATATTTATATGGCTGTTTTTTTATTGATTTATTAATAAAGATTCATTAATAATAATAATAAAAAAGCTGCTGTGTTTTAAAGTCATGGATCATAATGATCAACAAAATGTAAACAATGTCTATTATTATACTTATGAAAAAAAGAGAAAAAATAAATATCAGAGCAGTGCAGTGCAGAACAGAGAAAAGGATAATTAGAGGCAGGATCAGATTGTGTATTCATACCCCAAGCTTTAAAATGCAAATCTCCCCTCTCTCTGTTTATTTCTTTCAGTTTTTTGTTTATTCTTATTATGAATTGTTTTCATTTTTTGCAATCAGTGCTCAAAATCAACTCTAATTATATAGCTTAATTTTTTTTTTAATAAAAAAATACTAAAAACCTTAAGCATATGCTACTTTATAATCATGAATGTCATATAAATCATATATCTTGAAACTTTGATAGTCAGCATGAGGCAGCCAATACTGTACTATAAATATTGCCTCAGGACTATGTATAATTATAAATCTCGAAAGAATTCAACTTAAAGATAAATTCTGAGAAACTTAATTCAAATGCTGTTTTTTTGTTGTTCAAAGCTTTTCAAAATGCTATTTTTTTGCTTATATTGTAAATTTAATATTACTCTAAAAACAGAATATCTAGAATATTTAGTTTGTGAGTATAGCCAAAAACTAAGTGGAGAAAGCTGAAGCAGCATGGTAATTTGGTGCTTGAAACAATATAGCAAACTGCTATTCTGACGCTACTGTACAATCATGATGAATATAAAAGATGTTCTTACCACTGTATTCGTCGTTCCGCCGTGGTTTCTGACGCGACGGTGTCATCTTCACCAATTTCTGACAACTCGAAAAAAAACAAAATCGATTTTCAATTCCAAATGTCCAACATTCTTCAGCTAAAACAGGTTTCATCCGCTTATGCGACATTCCATTCATTCTTCCCGAGCTTCCTTACTAATCGATTTTGATAAAGCTTGTTGAAATCAGCAGCAGAGGTACCTCACTTTCCCTCCCCACACCTTGCCACAACTCACAACTTCCCATTTCCTCCTTACCTTCATCTCAATACACTTCCTCCCGTCTCTTTACTTCCAATCCCACTCCCAATCTACCTCTTGTGCGAAGGCGCCGACAAATTTGTTGAGCTATACTACAACTCCTTCGATACAAACCGTCCCCAAATAGCACGATTTTATAGAGAAACCTCACAAATTATATGGAATGGAAACGCATTTCTTGAATATAAGTCTTTCGAGGCGTTTCTGAATAAATTACCGCCGACTGAGCATAGATACTACAGCTATGACTGTCAACCTATCGGTAAGACCTTTCTCTGTAAAATGCATGTATTTTATATACTAATTCCATTTGATTATCATAGGTTTGGATAAGAATATGATGGTCACAGTCACTGGTGCAGTAAAAATCGGCGACGCAGTGCAACGGCAACACTTCTGTCAGACTTTCGTACTTATGCAGGATCCGCAATCTGGTGCTTATGTAATCGGAATGGAGTCGATGCGATTTGTTGCAAATATTTCGTCCGTTGCGTCTTGAACTTTTTGTTTTGTTTCTTTTTCTTCCCTGATTGTTTTGTTACTTTTTATTTAATTTCTTTTTAATACATTTGAGAATGTTGTTTGTTTCTTGTCGAGATATCGCTTTAAAATAAAATAGCTGAATCAGCGTTGTAATTCTGGAAATTCAATTAAGCAAGTAATGCCAGTGGTGACCTTCGGTTGACAAAAAGAATAAATAGTTTAGCATGAATAAGCGTTTATGAGTAAAACGGTTATAACCTTGCCATAAAAATTATCGAGGAAGCCACAAAGCAAATGTCATTTGAAGAATTATCTTCCCAAGTATTATGACTGCTTATGGAATTCTTGATACTTTCTTAAAACTCTGTTTAGCTTGCTGCCGATCCAAACAATTATACGCTTCATATTCAATTAATTACTGCGCTTTCAGAGTCAGACCAACATGGAGATGAATTACGAGCTGCGAGAGAGTCTATGAACAAAGTATTTCCCCTGTCTGAAGGTTTGCGGAGATTTCATTCAAATTTTGATCACAGTTAGTTATTTTGCGGCTGGTTTGTTAGATATGTGGATGAACTGGATCAACGACGAAATGAAACGAATTCAGTCTGACAAGGAAAAGCACAAAATTCTACAACTGTACGAGCTGGCGATTGAAGATTATCAGTGTACTAAATTTGCAATCTCTTTTCATGACTTTTTTGTCGTAATTTTTTAATACAGCTCCTTCCGTTTGGGAATCATACATCGACTTTATCACGAATAACTACCTTTCATTCAATAAGCTATTGGATCAAGAAGACTTATCGGAACTTGATGAATCGTCGATAGCAACCGCGGCTTGGATAGATCTTGATCAAATACGAGCAATATACGCAAAGTCTCAAAACATCATTCTTCACCATTTCACACAAAGCCAGTCGATTTGGGAACTAATCATCGCATTTGAAAACAAAATTCTCGAAAATATCAAAGCCAGTGGTGGAGCGCCAGCGAAGAAAGTTACCAGATCGAGCAAAGCCAAAAAAGACACCAATGCTGGCGACCTCGATGCCCAACTTTCGCGACTTCGTAAATTGTACCATAATCGATTAGCTATCCCTCACCAACAACTCGAAGACACATTTTCGCAATATTCGACGTTTGAATCAACTTATGATAACGCGAATTACGAGAAGCTAATGAAAAACGCTAACGGTGTCGTGAAGAAAACCAGAGTGTTGACGGAGCAGTTTGAGAAACTGGAGTGGCAGTTGAGTGAATTGTCGCAGAATACTGACGGCTTGGATCATGAGATGGAAAAGTTTGCAATCTTTGAACGGTACATCGATTTACATAAAGAGAAGTTCGGCCGAAGAGCTCTGTTTGAACGAATGGTTATGATGTGGTGCACCGATCCGAAGGTGTGGGATTACTATTTGACGTTTATGGTGAGCAGCGTTTTATCATCATTTGTTTAATTTTTTTTCCAACTTCACAAATCAAAGATGATGGAGTTCAAGTCGTTCACAATTGTGACTCCGGTTTTGGAGCGTGCGATTCGTAACTATAATTTTTCTGGTGATATTTGGGGTCACTATGCACGCGCATATGTAGGAAAAAACTGAATTTTATTATTAATTTGAACCTGATTTAAAATTTAGGAATTAGCTAACAAATCGAGAGGGGATTTTCAAGGTAACTTCAGATTTTTTGAAAGAAATGCTCGATTAATCATTTGCAAAATCTGATAGAATTACACAGTCGCGGTTTGGGTGAAATTATGAAATTCCAAAATTTGGAAGAGATTGTCAAGTTTTTTTTTGCGTATTGTGAAGCGATCCGTCGGTTACATAGTGGTAAGGTTTTTCTCTTTCAGCATTCACGTGCGACACTTATCACCAATTTAAAGAGGAATGTCGGACTGTTTATCGGGAGTCTATAGAGCTCATTAACGGAAGTATTTCCCTAATATTTGCGCAATTAAGAAAACCAATATTTACCTTCATGTGAGATTAGGTTTCGGGGGTGATTCGTTTTTCAGACTTGAAAAGTCTTTAGCAAACCTCGAGGCATATCATTTTAAAAATCCTGATGGATATCGAGAAGTATACGACTCGTTATTGAAAAATCATGGTGATCGATCTGAACTTTGGCTGGAGTACATACGATTGGAAAGGTGAATAATACATTATATACCAGTTTGCTTTTTGACTAATAATACGATATGCTCAGAATGAACGGTTTTATTCCCGAGACGAGGAAACTTTATCGACAAGCAGTTTCCAGAAAAACAGATTGGCCGGAGGGAATCAGTGAGTCGTGGATATTGTTTGAAAGAGAGTGCGGCACGCTTGATGAATATTATGAGGCTTACGCGAGAGTCAGAAGTCAGATGAAAGTTGTGGAAGCATGGAGAGCGAAAGTATGCGATGGAAGAATTTAATTTATGTGAATTCTCAAACATATTTTATTTAGGAGGCTGCGCAGATGGAAATAATGCAGCAAGATTTCCAAAACGTTAATTTACATCGTGAAAAGAGGGATAGAAAGGTACATTTATTGCAGATTTCTTTCTTCCACCGAACGATAAATCTGCAATGTAGGAAAAGAAAGAAAAACACAATGGATCAACTGGTGAGAGGAAACGAGTTAGGAATGAAGAAAGTGAAGAATCAACTGGGAAGCGAAAGAAGGGTTATTTGACTTGAAAAACATTCATCACGATTTCTTACTGATAAGTTTTCTTTAGAGGAAGCAGAACCCATGGATGTAGATTCAGAAAAGAAAGAGGAAGTAGAAATCACATACCACATAATCGAAAAGTATTTCCTTTTTTCATTTTGTTTTTATTCCAATTTTCATTTTGCATTTTTTTGCAGTTCGATGGCTGGAAATATGATTTACGTGAAGAATGTCCCATCAGTTGTGGATGCTCCACTCGTTCGAGATCTTTTCCAAATTGTGAGTCAATTCCTTCCATCTTTTATTTATTAATTTCATGTTTCATTCTGTTGAATGATCGAACAGTGCGGTGAAATCGTCGATGTGTTGATTGAAGGGGACGAAGCGAATCGTGAAATATTCGTGGAGTTTAAATCGGCGGTAAAATAATAAGTTAATAAATTTGTTTGCAGAGTAATAATAGAGATTGTCGTTTAGGAATTCGTGAAGAAAGCCGTTGAATTGTTCCACAACCAAGACATTTTCGGTGACGGTCAAATTGTTTGCAT